TGAGCTGTTTATGACCAGTGGAGCTTGGTTAGAACGGTTCTTCCTGAAGTCGAAAATGATCTCCTTCGTCTTCTCAACGTTCAGGATCAGGCTGTTATCTTTGCACCAGTCCACCAGCTGCTCCACCTCCTCTCCGTATTCCTGGTTGTTGTCGTCTCTGATGAGGCCCACCACTGTGGTGTCGTCTGCAAACTTCACAATGTGATTGGTGGTGAACCTGGGGACACAGTCGTGTGTCATCAGAGTAAACAGCAGGGGGCTCAGGACGCCCTGAGGGGAGCGTGTACTTAGGGTGATGAAATCATAGATATAAGAACCAACACTCTGGATGAGCTAAAGGCCGCTATCGAAGCATCTTGGGCCTCCATAACACCTCAGCAGTGCCACAGGCTGATTGCCACGCCAGGCTCCATGCCACGCCGCATTGAAGCAGTCAATTCTGCAAAAGGATTCCCCACCAAGTACTGAGTGCATAACTGTACATGATTATTTGAAGGTTGACTTTTTTGTATTAAGAACACTTTTCTTTTATTGGTTGGATGACATATGCTAATTTTGTGAGATAGGAGTTTTGGGTTTTGATGAGCTGTATGCCAAAATCATCCGTATTAAGACAATAAAAGACCTGAAATATTTCAGTTAGTGTGCAATGAACTTTATCACAATACGCTAATGTTTTGAGAAGGTCCTGTATATACACAGACATATGTACACATATACACATATATGCACTTAATATCAAGTTTCAAGTTTAATCTGACTCTAATTGATGCAGATTCTGTAACTTAAAAACAACTTTGAAACAATGTCACACTTGGAGGTGGGTGTATACAAGACTAGGGCATCATTATTATTTCAAGAGGCAGATGAGAGAAGGTTAGAGGAAATGTAACTCAGTATGCTCATCTCATTTAGATTGATGACTAAGAGCAGCTCAGTTTTTTGCTGCCAGTGTCATCTTGAAGCCAATCAAATATTGTTTTGCACTCCCACGGATCACTGGGTCTTGAAAGTTCCAGAAGCTTGTTTTGAATCTTACTTTAAGAAGCTCATAAAAGGGGAAAGATAGTTTTCTACTTGAGAATTGTGTATTGTAATGTGTGAATTGTATAGGAGTGCATATATACAGGTGCTGGTCATAAAATTAGAATATCATGAAAAAGTAGATTGATTTCAGTAATTCCATTTAAAAAGTGAAACTTGTATATTATATTCATACATTACATACAAACTCATATATTTCAGATGTTTATTTTGTTTAATTTTGATGATTACAAATGACAACAAATGAAAATCTCAAATTCATCATATCAGAAAATTAGAATATTGTGAAAAGGTTCAAAATTGATGGCCCCTGGTGCCACACTCTAATCAGCTAATTAACTCAAACCACCTGCAAAAGCCTTTAAATGGTCTTTCAGTCTAGTTCTATAGGCTACACAATCATGGGGAAGACTGCTGACTTGACAGTTGTCCAAAAGACGACCATCGACACCTTGCACAAGGAGGGCAAGACACAAAAGGTCATCGCTAAAGAGGCTGGCTGTTCACAGAGCTCAGTGTCCAAGCACATTAATAGAGAGGCGAAGGGAAGGAAAAGATGTGGTCGAAAAAAGTGTACAAGCGAGAGAGATAACCGCACCCTGGAGAGGATTGTGAAACAAAACCCATTCAAAAATGTGGGGGAGATTCACAAAGAGTGGACTGCAGCTGGAGTGAGTGCTTCAAGAACCACCACACACAGACGTATGAAAGACATGGGTTTCTGCTGTCGCATTCCTTGTGTCAAGCCACTCTTGAACCACAGACAGCGTCAGAAGCGTCTTGCCTGGGCTAAAGAGAAACAGGACTGGACTGCTGGTGAGTGGTCCAAAGTCATGTTCTCTGATGAAAGTAAATTTTGCATTTCCTTTGGAAATCAAGGTCCCAGAGTCTGGAGGAAAAGAAGAGAGGCACTTCATCCACGTTGCTTGAAGTCCAGTGTAAAGTTTCCACAGTCAGTGATGGTTTGGGGTGCCATGTCATCTGCTGGTGTTGGTCCATTGTGTTTTCTGAGGTCCAGGGTCAACGCAGCCACATACCAGGAAGTTTTAGAGCACTTCATGCTTCCTGCAGCTGACCAACTTTTTGGAGATGCAGATTTCATTTTCCAACAGGACTTGGCACCTGCACACAGTGCCAAAGCTACCAGTACCTGGTTGAAGGACCATGGTATCCCTGTTCTTAATTGGCCAGCAAACTCTCCTGACCTTAACCCCATAGAAAATCTATGGGGTATTGTGAAGAAGAAGATGCAATACACCAGACCCAACAATTCAGAAGAGCTAAAAGCCACTATTAGAGCAACCTGGGCTATCATAACACCTGAGCAGTGCCACAGACTGATCGACTCCATGCCACGCCGCATTGCTGCAGTAATACAGGCCAAAGGAGGCCCAACTAAATACTGAGTGCTGTACATGCTCATACTTTTCATGTTCATACTTTTCAGTTGGCCAACATTTCTATAAATCCTTTGTTTTTATTGGTCTTCAGTAATATTCTAATTTTCTGATATGATGAATTTGAGATTTTCATTTGTTGTCATTTGTAATCATCAAAATTAAACAAAATAAACATCTGAAATATATGAGTTTGTATGTAATGTATGAATATAATATACAAGTTTCACTTTTTAAATGGAATTACTGAAATCAATCTACTTTTTCATGATATTCTAATTTTATGACCAGCACCTGTATACTAGGTATATTCTGCTGCAAACATATTTTTATGATGATACACATGAATTGAACAAACAAATGAGATTAGGATAAGATAGGTTCTGGGTGGAATTTGTATGTTTTCCCTGAGCCTCCTCCCACAGTCCAAAAACATGACTGTTAGGTTAACTGGCTCCTCTAAAATTCTTCTTAGGTGTGAAAAGTTGTTTGTTCTGTTCTGTGTTGCCCTGCGATGGACTGGCGACCTGTCCAGGGTGAACCCCGCCGCTCCCCTCGTGACCCCACATGGGATTAATGGATGGATGGATCTCTCATTGAATGAGATAAATTTCTCATGATGTTGGTGCTGATGACTGGCTTGGTAATTAATTTCATTCACCTGTCTAATTCTGCCCAGTTTCTCATCACTGCTTATCTGATTTGCCTCTTATTTAAACATTGTTTTCCTTTAACCAAAGTTATGTGTGAATGCAGACACATACTAATTCTTCAGTATAACATTGTGACCTTTTATTTATTAAGAAACTTCTTCAAATAATCATTAAAAAGATAATGTTAGACTGAGAAACGTAACATTTTTCATTAATAAAGCAGGATGCGACCCTCATTTGACAACATTCTGAGGTTATTTCTGGCTCTCTAAATTTAACTCTACTTATGGCCTCATTGCTGTCAAACAAACTTTAAACCCGGTATGAATATTCTTTTAACAACATGCTCTTTAATGATAACTGCCATCTTTGTGGATGAGCAATCCTTGGACCAACATGGGTAATAAAATACTCAGTGAGCATTATCTGAAAATGCTTCTGGTCTGACGAGCAGCCAAGGAGCAGGAGCCTTCACGCCATTAATAAAACTGGAGACCATGCAGAACATTATCACACACACATTTACGTTCTTATGCATCAACTGCTAGCTTGTTATAACAAGCACAGCTTGTCACTTCCAATGAGACACACCAAAATGACATTTCACTGTGTGTGAAAAAGTCGCATCAAGTCAAAGAGCATCCATCTCTGTAGCGCAATCAGAGAGTGGAGCAAATAACTGCTTTTTCATACAGTATGCGCATATAGTGCTTCAAGCAATTGCATGCAGATGGATGCATGCACGCACATATACACACTCTGCCAATTTGTTTGTTTCCCATGTTAGGAGGCATGCGGTTCTGCTCTGCCATCCCTAATGCCTCCAAAACACATCATTATCTAACTTATGTAGACCTGGGAGTCTATGCGAACATTACTGTGTGTGGCTACGTGTTCGAGGTGTGCATGTGTGCAGGCGGTGAGAGAAAAACAGTTGATTATCGAGTTCAACAGGCGAAACACTGTTTACCCCGTGAGACACAAAGCAAGTGAGAGAGATAGGGAAAGAGGCAGACAAGAGAGCTGAGGTAAGAAGGGGATGGAGGGAGATGATTTAGGAACAGCCAGGTGAAAAATGGGAGTCCTGGAGAGACGGAGTGAGAGTGAGAGGAGCAGGCCCGATGAAAAAAGGCTGGGATGGAGGGATGGTTAGGGGGAGGGTGGAATCGACAGTTAGACAAAGAAGTGAGATGACAAGCCAGGCCTGCAGGGTGCAATGTAATGAAATTCAGTGGTAGATCCCTCTAAGCCATGACACGCAGACAAACATCACAGTTGGTCTGTCGTTGTTGTAGTAGGGCAACAACTTCAGAAACATGGTCTGCAGCTATTTACCAGCTGGAGTGATAAAAGTCCAATCGCGCCCAGAGAAAACCACAGCGCAAAATATCAAACGGTCGACATTAGCAGAGACTGATCGAGAGAAGAAGAGCTGGGAGGGAGGTGAAGATCCCATAGGGGGATATTCTCAGCAGACATCCACCCAGGAGGCATTATTTTCAGATCCCAAATTAGATGTGTTTATGCAAGTCTGATGATGCACTGTCATAAGAACATTGAAATGTTTTTATCTACGTATTTGTAAAACTGTGAGAGTGTAATCCTAATTACTATGAAACATGTTTATCAGAAATTGCTCACTCAAAGCATGATTCTGTTATGACAGAGGAATATGCACCATTATCGAGAGTGTGCTCCAACTGAAAATATATATTCAACTAAATCATTTGGAAAATCTTTTATATATTCACTGGTTCTTCAAAAGGATCTTAAACAGAACAGACAGGGGATGCAATACAACATAGAATTACAAACCAGAACACCTGGTCAATTGGCAGCATAGATGAGAAAACTCCATGTTTAACAAAATGAGAACAGCAGTAAAGTAAAAGAAGTCTGCTCTAACCTTGTTTCCCAGATATACTTCAGGTGCGTTCCAGTAGTAGGCGGAGCCAAGGTTGTTCATAATATCTGAGTGTCTGACCGTCAGATAAGAAGGTGTCTCTCTGTGAACAGGCCACACCCTCCCTCCTGTCTCTCCAAGCAGGTGCCAGCCGGCCAGAGTGGTCACCTAAATACACAGCAATCACACAGAGGAATAAGAGAGGTCATTAGCTTTATTCTGCAGAAAACTCTTTCACTATAATTGGTTGGTATAATTTAAGTCATTTTCTTGAAAGGGCTTATTTTGTGAAAGGCTTTTGCTGGATTGCACCGTTTTCTATTTTCCTGCTATATTGCCAGCCGAGGTTTCAAATAGGGGTCAGCGTTCAAATTTGAGTTTTTATCACAGTATGTCTCCAGAAGTCTCACTACATTAAATATATAGCAAAAAGATAATATATACGTTTAAAATAAATCATTTACAGCAACTTAATGAATTTAAACATTCAGAAAAAAAGTTTACTATTTTTTTTACCACCATGCAGTTCAGTTGAAATTGTATTTTTAAAATCATATTATCTATGAAATGTCACAACATTGAAAAGTTCTCATGTATCAACATTGAAGCATGCTGTTGATAAATTAGGATTGTTATTACTATAATAATAGTTATTTTATGTCCTAGAATTGAAAAGTATGCTTTCTGAACATCTAAAACTATTTAAATTTGCAGTATAAAAGTTACCAGAGGAGGGCAATGTATTTGTCCCTCTATACTACTGTAAGCTTTGACTGGACACAGCTTCATAACTATAATGTATAAAAAAATATAATAAGAAATATTTTTTAATGATTGGTTTGAAACACATGTTTTTATGACAGATATGTAAACTCCAGTCATATTCAGAATTCAAACTGACCAGACTTTTCCTTCAAGAGTTTTTTTTATCTGATGAAACAGAAGTGTGTTGAGCTCTTAACTGATACACTGGTTTTCAAAAGAAAACTTATTACATCATTTCTGTGGATTCAAACTCAAATAATCCAATTATGATTAGCGTTTACTTGTACCAGGCTATTAAGAACAGCAGCATCTGCAGAATTGTCCTATTTCTATGAAACAGCCATAAAGAAGTAGCATGCTTCTTCCTGTGCAAAAACAGAAAAAATATAACTCAAGCGAATGTTGTTTATAAGAATTTAGATGCTAATTTTCACTTTGCGACATAACTGGGCTATATTGATTTAATGTAAAATGTGCAGATTCTTGCTCCTTTATATTATTTTACAATGGAAAATTATATTAAAGCACCAAAGATAAAATTAAGTGTTATTCTAAAGTGTATTTTGGTTTCAAACTGAACAAACCCTTATGCTTGAACAGAAGTAACTTGCTTGTTGTCCCCTGATCAGTAGCACTCAACTTAAGTATATATTATAGTCATGTAGGTTGAAGCCAAGCTTTTTAATCCCCTGAGCTTAATTATAAAGACCAGTGAATGGTCCCAATTTGATGCTCCACACAACTGTAACCGACAACGTAGAGCATGATCAAGTAGATTGGTTCATCTCCCAATTGGGCTCTGGTTCCACAGCCCATTTATAACAAACTGCAGGAAGAATGTCAAAATTCAAAAATATATGACATTTGCTATGTCTATATCAATAACATCAGTGATTATTAGTAATAATCTGCACATTTGCACAATATATGCAATAAATAAGAAGCATCTTTACTTTCTTTGGTTAGTCCTATTTTTTTTTATTATTTTTTTACATTTGCCACATAAACTTCCATCTTGAAAGAGACTGACTGATGGTGTGTATCTCGGTCTGGGAGAGCTCCAGAGCAAGAAACACACGTCTTCACAATTAACCTAACCTTGGCTTCTACTTTCAAACACACTCACAGGCACAAAACCCACACATACCCAAACACACACACACTGGGTATCTAAATCAGAGCTGTCATCCTGTCAGCATCTCCTCTTTCCTCCACTCCCACCCCACCTGTCAGTTAAAAACTCTTTCCTCTTGCTTCACCTCTCTCCTCCCTCTTACCTCTTGTCTTCTCCTTTTCAAACTTGTCTTCTTGTCTTTCCCCCCTAAACTCTTTCCAAACCCTTTTTACAATGGGCTACCCTTCTCTTTTCCCTTCACCTGTATCATACCGGCTCCATTGCTTTATTGATTGATTATTTGTTTTAGACTCTAAACTACCTTAGAACGTACAAAGGTAATACCTCCACAGTTTAACACCCCTGAGGTTTATTCTAATGATGTAAGTTTTGTTTTGCTGTCACTAGAATATTTTTATTTTATTTTTTTACCTTAGTGACCCTTGTTAGCCTTAAAGCAGGGCTCACACTGACTGCATTTCCATTACGAATGTGCTCAAAGCTGTGTCGATATCCTGCTAAATTCGTAAATCCAAAGTTCTGCAATTTCAGTGTACCGGTATCTATTAAATAACAAATATAATATTTGCATGTAAATACATTTGTTCACACAATGATTCAAAGGTGAACACATGAGCTATATCCATATTTCAGCTGAGGCTCTGGTGGAAACCATCCTTCTCCAACCACTTCCGGTCTTCTGCTTCATCTTTTTACAAGGTCGTAAGGTCCAGCTGACTCATATGTTATAAAAAAAATGTGTTTCCATTGCATCCGAATTTCGATACCGCCGTAAAACTTGCAATATTCAGCTAATTCATTTTCACAATTACAATTTCTGCAATTTGATGATTAATTGAAATGCAGCTACTGACAATGGAACTGCAGTGGACCTGATCTAATGTGGTCTTGCCACAGAGAACAAAACCCATTGGTGCTGTGCCAGCCCAGCCCACCCACAGCTCCAGCTGTGAAAACAAGCTTTCAGGAAGCTGCAGGGTAAAATTCCAATAGCTCCTCTGTTTCATCGTGTTTCTGCTTTGCTGTTTTATTTACACTAGTTATGTAAGTGTAAGTAGGTGATTTTATTTTATTCTGAAATTCACCAGGACTCTTTCCTGTCTGGCATTTGAGATTTTTGATCAGCTCAGTAAATTAAATTAAGGTGCTTCATCTGGGGGACGTTAAAGGGTCCTGCCAAGCTTCTATCTGGCTAAAATGTCCATTTAAGCTTATTTAAACAGACCTGCACTGCACTGCATTAATATAAGAATACACATAAATTCTAATGATTTGTCGCACATGGTGGTGCAAAGACAGCACGTTGGTTTTAGTGTTCCTTCTAGGAAAATCGATATTTTTTCTCAATAATTTACACTCACCGGCCACTTCATTAGTAACACCTGTCCAACTGCTCTTAACACTTAATTTCTAAGCAGCCAATCACATGGCGGCAACTCAGTGCATTTAGGCATGTAGACATGGTCAAGACAATCTCCTGCAGTTCAAACCGAGCATCAGTATGGGGAAGAAAGGTAATTTGAGTGACTTTGAACGTGGCATGATTGTTGGTGCCAGAAGGGCTGGTCTGAGTATTTCAGAAACTGCTGATCTACTGGGATTTTCACGCACAACCATCTCTAGGGTTTACAGAGAATGGTCCGAAAAAGAAAAAACATCCAGTGAGCGGAAGTTCTGTAGGCGGAAATGCCTTGTTGATGCCAGAGGTCAGAGGAGAATGGCCAGACTGGTTCGAGCTGATAGAAGGGCAACAGTAACTCAAATAACCACCCGTTACAACCAAGGTGGGCAGAAGAGCATCTCTGAACGCACAGTACGTCGAACTTTGAGGCAGATGGGCTACAGCAGCAGAAGACCACACCGGGTGCCACTCCTTTCAGCTAAGAACAGGAAACTGAGGCTACAATTTGCACAAGCTCATCGAAATTGGACAATAGAAGATTGGAAAAGCGTTGCCTGGTCTGATGAGTCTCGATTTCTGCTGCGACATTCGGATGGTAGGGTCAGAATTTGGCGTCTACAACATGAAAGCATGAATCCATCCTGCCTTGTATCAACAGTTCATGCTGGTGGTGGTGGTGTCATGGTGTGGGGAATATTTTCTTGGCACTCTTTGGGCCCCTTGGTACCAACTGAGCATCGTTGCAACGCCACAGCCTACCTGAGTATAGTTGCTGACCATGTCCATCCCTTTATGACCACAATGTACCCAACTTCTGATGGCTACTTTCAGCAGGATAATGCGCCATGTCATAAAGCTGGAATCATCTCAGACTGGTTTCTTGAACATGACAATGAGTTCACTGTACTCAAATGGCCTCCACAGTCACCAGATCTCAATCCAATAGAGCATCTTTGGGATGTGGTGGAACGGGAGATTCGCATCATGGATGTGCAGCCGACAAATCTGCGGCAACTGTGTGATGCCATCATGTCAATATGGACCAAACCCCCTGAGAAATGCTTCCAGCACCTTGTTGAATCTATGCCACGAAGAATTGAGGCAGTTCTGAAGGCAAAAGGGGGTCCAACCCGTTACTAGCATGGGGTACCTAATAAAGTGGCTGGTGAGTGTATATATATGAAGAAAAAAACACTAATTTAAGGCAAGTTCAGTATCTTCCTCTTTGGTTAAACATGAGACAGAAATTCAAAAATGAGAAATGCTTACCTTCCCAAAGTTCCAAGTGGAGGACGAGCATTGGCTTGCAATGCCCATGCAGAAGCATTTTTCGCAGCCTCGTCGATTACTACCTTGCAGATTGTAGAAACCAAGTTTACACCGATCACAGTTCTCTCCTTCAACATGTTCCTGTACAGAAAAGTGCATGCAGGAGAGTTTATGATCCGTCTTCAAATATGAGCACAAGGCAGGCAATTGCAGTGTTAATGTGGCGAAAATAATGATGACAAGGCTAGAAAGGTTAAGGCAAAGTACTTTTCATAATGAGTTTGAATGCAAATGTTAGGCTGTGTGTGAGTCTGTCTCTAACCTTGCATATACATGGGGTCACACACGGGTCGGAGTTGATGCTTCCTTCCACACTGCAATTACAGTGCTCACAGTTTGGGTACCCCATATATCCAATAGCACACCTGAAGACAAATTAATTTAACCACAATGAAGGAGATTATAAAATTGTTAACTTTTGCTGTTGGTCACAATAACAATCCCTGTCAGTATTTTCTGTCTGCCTCTCATTGATCAAAATCAGAAACCCTTTGTAAGGCACGCTAACAGACACTAAAATACAGTAACTTCACATGTATCAGCAAATATTCATAAAAGTGTAGGATATGGTTCATCTAAAAAAGATAATGTGTGACCAGTCTTTAAAAATGAATTGTATGCTAAAGAATTGCCTGCTAAATTACATTTTCAGAATATTTACATTATATCTGATATACACACAAAACAAAAACACAACATTGTTTTATTGTTGTTCTAGCTAGAGCTCAGTGCAGTTAAAAAAAAACTAGAAAACAAAACAATGAACAGGCATTAGCACATGATCATGGTCAAGGATGTAGAACCAAATTAGTTAACATATCTTAATGAAAATTTCTAATTTGTGAAAGTTAATATATTGCATATTCACCCATTTACAGGGTTAATTGGAAGTACTTTTGCTCAGAGAGTCAGAGTGGGGATCAAACTGGGTACTTGCAACCTTCTCAGAGGTTCTAAGAACTAGGCCAACACTCCCTCACTTTTGATTAAATGGTTGAGGTCAGAAACATAAAAGCAGCTTCCTTCCAGCCTATTGATTTCAATTCAATTCAATTCAGTTTATTTATATAGCGCCAAATTCACAACACATATCATCTCAAGGCACTTTACAGTTCAACCAGATCATAGCATATGCATTAACATCATATAAAACATTTTCCATGCTTTCTTTGTGAAAAAAAAACTATGCTTTTCACTCTTTGAGAAAGCTTTTACTTATTCATCCTGTTAATCGAAAAGACAAAGAAGACAATACATTATCTTATGTTTAATTGTCATTTGAACTTCTTTACATTTCAACTGGGAAAAAATGCTGTTTTTTTTCTCTTCCTCCTGAAAGTAATCTAACTGTCTTTTAACATTTGTAAAAGTTATTTTTGCACATAATATAACTACGTTGCAACTCCATATATGTTGAACTAATCAGAGGTTCGGGAAAACACATATAAAACAATCATAATCAAAATTTTCCTAATGCCAAATTATGGTCTATAATTTTATAAGAGTCAAAATGAAAACTAGTTTGGAGAAAAATGTGTTTTGCTGTTGCAGGGGTTTTTCTATGAAAAAATATTAAATGAGAAATGAAATCCATATAAAACACTGCAGACATTATCATTATTTCTTTTCTTTTTTTTTTAACAGTGTCCTGTGTGGCGATGTGGCAATACGAATAATTGTCTTCATGTCAAAAAGAGGCGAACAGATTTTGCTTTCACAAGTGGAGCAGTACGGCTATCGTAATAGTGTTCCGCTTGATTTATGTATATAATTAGCTTTACTATAATTCATGCAGGTAGTATTTCAGATTTTATGGACACTGCAATGTAAGTAGAACAAGAAAGGAAAAAGAGATAAAAAAAGGAGAAAGGATGAAAGAAAAGAGGAGATAAAAGGGAGATAACAATAAAACATCATAAAACATAAAACAATAAAAATGCTGTTTCCATAACAAGTTCAGCTGGGAATGATAAATATAGTATTATACTGTGATGGAATATTCACAGATTGGAAAATCATGTTTTTTTAATTATTTATCTATTTTAATTCGATTTGGTTATAACTAAGGTAAAGATGAAAAAAAGTCATTTGTAAAAAAAAATTTTTTCCAGGGAACAACATTCAGTTGTCAGCCAGGCCACAGAACCACTCAAAAGGTAATCACAGGGGAAAAGATCTCATGATATACATTTACTATTTGTAAATTAATACGGGCTCACAGTGGAAAATCATAATCTAAGAACTTAATATAAGCTTTTAGGGAATTTTCAAATAATAATTTGAGCAGACAAGAGCCGAAAGGGTCTGCTCACCTGTCACTACATTTCTGTGTCTCTCAGTATGTGAGTATGCGGGTCTCTCACCTGTCACATCGCAGACCTCCGAAACCTTCCTTACACCAGCATGACCCTGCTGGCTGACCTGCCAATCAAACACATAGACAAACACACATCTTAGAAAACACTTCTACGAGGTCAAAAAAAGAAAAGAAAACTCCTTGAAGGAACTAAAATAGATCTACTATTATTATATTGATACAAAAAAATCTATAAAGAGCAGAATTACCTCTTAATATAAATAGTCTAACACTGTCACAGATATTTATATAACAAGAGCTCTAATTATATAAATCCCACAGGATATCAGGTAGGATTTACAAGGCACTGTTAAGATAATCTAAGTCTCCTTTTGAAAATATTTGTAAAAGGAATGTGTGTTTCTGTGTGCTTATGTCTCAAAGAGAAGAATGGACAAACATAAAAGAAAAGTGAGGAAAAAATAGTTTGCCTACCAGGTGAAGCTTGGCTTTCATCTGCAACACAAGTTTGGCTGATAGAACCATGTGGATCACACGAGCATGGAATGCAGGGGTCCTCCTCATCCGGACTCACCTGGACACGCAAAAAAAGATCATTTCTAAACAATGTATAAACACCTTTGTGAAACGTTTAGGTATATTAAGCATACCGTTGAAGGTCTGTAGTAACCAGAAATGCAGCTTTGACAGTTGATTCCAGCTGTGTTGTCCCGGCAGCCAGTACAGACGCCACCACCTCGATACTGACCATGAATGTCAAGGCTTAGTGATAGATCAGCCACAGTCTGATTAAAGTAGCACTCCTCTGCCTTATTATGGCAGTTGCACTCTGAAAACATAAATAGATAAAAAAAAATAAAAAGTTATGCCAAATTTATGCAGTAAAAAAGGAACTATTCTTATACCCCTTCAGGTTCTTTAAGGCGAGCTAGAACACGGTGCTTTGGTGCTGCTCCATTTTTAACATTTGGTTCTTTAATTTCAACTCCAGTAGAAACTTTCTTTATAGATTATGTTATGTCATTGTCAAGACACCAAAAGTGATAAATTAACCTGTGTAAAACTGAGCAGAGCAGTACATTTTTATGACCCGTTTGATGGAAAACAGCTTTTTACATCCACCTTTTACTGCTGTTTATCAAGGTTGAAGGTAAGAGGAAACTTTTTTTAATAGCCAGTAATTCTAAAGTCTGATTCCATCTGGCTGGAAGGAATTATTGCTAGATTCTAAAACATGCTGGTTATCCATTTAATAGGTTTAAATATAGTTTAATGAAATAATAAGCAGCTTAACATGAGCAACCACAACTCTTGGAGCCCTGCTCTAAAACCAGGAGAAGTGTTTTGAAAAGCTCAACATAGCCCTGGGATAATAAGGTAAGCATTTTTCCTTACTTTCGCAGACATGTCTGGTGAGGAAGGTCCCCGCCATCCATGGCTGCTGGTGGTAACCCGGGCAACAGTGATCACAGCTCTCCCCGCATGTATTGTGCTCACATTCACAGCTAAACTTCTACATAGACAGGGAGAAGAAATACAGAGTCATTATGTGTTTAACAGATGTTACGCCTGTTATGATTTATTGGTTCTCTGTGGACTGGAGGTTGATTATGGAGGGATTGTTACACATCTAAACAGAAAGAATGAGCACTCTGTGGTTTTCCACTTTAGTCATTTCCTCAACACAAGCTGTTGAGGTCCTGCTAAAATAATTGAGACTTGAGTGGTAGCATGCCTGAAAGGTATATCAATCAAATGAACAATCTGAACAAATCCAATTTTTGGAAAGAAAAGAAATGTGGTATACCTAAAAGAAAAATACACAACTTGGATATCCTGTATGAATAATAAAAAAAAAAACTATTTCCATTACTTCATATTTTAATAATATTATGTAAATTAAAAAAGGTCTAGTACCATTTCACATTAAATATCTTTATAATGGAACACTATTGTGCTCATCAACCAAAATAACCCGGCAGAATCTCAAATTTCCTTTCATTCTCTACAGAACATATTTAGTTTCCCCTCAGCATCAATTATCAGTAACAGAAAAAGTTAAATATTATTAAAATTCTTTGAAGATTTTACTAAAACTGATTTATAATTTTAAAAATGTTCTACAAATCTAAAATAAAACTACTTAAAATAGCAACTAACAACAGGAATAAACCATTAAAAGCCAAACAAACGCCAAGTGGCTCCACAGGAGAGCAGGTTGCACTGAAAGAATATTGTTGGCCTTCCAGCTCAACAGTAAATAGAAAATTGGTTTCCTACTATTCTCCCATGAGAGGAATAAATCCTAAACTAAAACATGGGCAGCTAAAAGCTGAATGTTACAGAATTATGGCCAAATCCAGGCTCCAGTAATTCAGTTGAAGATTTTCTGTGAATTGAGTTATTGTGTGAGGGTGCTGGTATTTTCACTAGATAAAATGAGCTGCAGTACAGAAGCAAAGTAAAAGGCCATGTTTGGATTCTTTGGAAGTAGAGTATTTTTCCCTCTCTTCCGAAACAAAAAAACAGGCATCCAGTTACTATAGCGATGAGTGCTGGTAAAGATGCTCAGTCACCCAGGTCATAGTCATTTAAAAAAATTTTAAAAACTGAGTCGTAGGGAAATCATATTTCAATTTCAAATCATTCTGACTTAAACATGTATATAAATGTACTCTTTATCAGACGATATTGTCCCAAAAGTTAGAACATTTCTATATAAAAAAAAATCCTGTCTTAAAATCTGTGGGGGGGGGTTTCTCTATTTTATGCAGGCCAGTTGGTTATACCTCAGCTTGTACACCTAAATTGGGCCAATCATGCATCAACGGTCATCTGTCAATCAAATTATTTCGGTCATAGCATCTTGATTCATATGTCGCAGCTAATAAATGCAGGTTGAAATATGAAATAAGCATAATTTACTTTCCCATTGAGTTCCGTCCCAGTGTTCACGGGGATGGACGTCTGTGTCATTGGCAGGTGTAGAGCTAACAGAACTGGTATCATTGCGAGGCAAGGGCTCAAACATGTACGGCTGGAAGCCTTCTACACCAAACCAAGCTTCTGGCACCCCCTTCCACAACATCTTTATCCTCACTTTCCTCCTCTAAATAAAAAACGTATGACCTCCGACACAAAACTCTCCTCCTCTTCCATGTTCCCGCTGTCCATAGTGTTCCTTGACAGTGTCGTTTCTAAGTCACCAATTTAGTGCTACTTGCACTAAGATGCTAACTGGTTAGCAAGATGCTTCAAACAAACCGGCCACAATCAAACTTGCTTGCGAACCTTCCGCCACAACCTTCCGCCCTCTTGATAAACGACCAATCACATTCACTTTATTCACTCGCGTAAAGTCAGGCACCACTTGGAAGAATTCGGAAATGCAACGGTTGGAACAGCCGTTTCCCTACGACTTTAAAAAAAACAATCCACTGGACTTTGTTTTCCAACTTAGAAGACATTTCACTTCCCATCAAGGAAGGTTTCTCAATTTAAAATGTCTGGAGTAGTGTTTCAATTCCAGTCTTATAGAGTGGCCCAAACAATAGTGCCGAGCCTATATGAGAAATTGAGCAACACAGAGTTTTAGTCAATATGACCTTTCCTGAACTCTCTTGCATTTGTTTTTTTAAACTTGTGTCCAAAGAAAGGAGACCAATCTGGTCTCCCCAACATTACTGACAAACTGGATCGGCTGGGCCACATCCTGGCCAGATAAGATTTTTAAAAAGGCTTAAAAATAGACAATAATCACCAACCTGCATGTTGTTTTCACAGTTCCTTGCAAAAATTCATAATTAGTATAGTTCATATGAAAGTAAATTGACATGATTTTTTTGTGTTACAACCACAAAATTCAATGTCTCCGAAAGATTGGATGGAGAATATTTAAACTATCATTATTTCTTCCAGGTTCAACCTATATTACCCACATCTTCCCATGAGCCTGATCAACCCAACTTTGCTAGATGGTGTCAAATGCATTGTCTTTAAAGGTGGAAATGGTGTGTTCGGAGTGATGTGCAGCCTTGGATTTCTCATAAATATAGTAAGGTTTTGATCTCAAGCACCTTCAGTCACATTAGGGGTATAGGCTGGCATCCAGTCTCATGGTGGGTTCTACAAAATTGGCCAAAAATCATTGCAGTTGTTCATCACACTACACAACAGTTTATTTCCAAAATAGCTTTATTTTGGAAATAAACTGTTGTGTTACAGGTACTGTACTAACTCTTTTTACTTAATCACCTTTATCTACATCTACTGAAACAAAGCATCATAACGTCATTGTTTTTAACAGACACTACTTTCACTTTCTGCCACTATTTGAGACTATTTAAAAATATATTTGTCTTCCATTGTCATCAGTACATAAAACAGTAGACTATCAACATGCAGACCTGTGTGTTTAATCGCAAATAAGACATTAAACTTTTGTTAAAAAAAAAATAAATTACGTACTGTATTTTCTGTTAACCTGAATTCTGATAATTAGTGCATTTTTATTTTGTTTGTTTATTTTTTTTTATATATAAATAAATTGCGGGTTATCTTTAAACTGTAGTCTTCTTTCTATCCATGACTCTTTTACCATAAGACCACCTTACTACGAACTTACTTTCATGTCTGTCAGGTGCTTCTCCTTTTCAAAAAGGCAGGATTTTTCCACGACAAGTATATTTCTTCACTTTGCCCACTTACCGTTGTCATTTTGGAGTCTTGTATGGTTAATAGAATTTTTTTTCCAAGCCAGTGTAGATTAAACGTCATCAATGGCTGGGTCAGACACCTGCATTGTTTCGACTGTGCTATGCTTTTAAAAGCTTGGCATATTATTTCATAAACTAGATCAACAGTAGATTTTTCACAATTTTACACCTGATCTTCCTTGATGATCCATTTTGTTCAAAAATATTCTATGATGAAAGAGAGAGAGAGTCCTTCAAAAAAACATCTGATGAAGTGATTTATTATCCTAATTCAATCTAATAATCACTTAAAATTCTTAGGTTCAGTAGGTATGAATAAATATGCAATGTAAATGTGATGCAATCAGGGAAGACAGAGACCTTTGATATTTAAAAAAAAGGAAGAAAAAAAGACACAGCTAAGAAAAAATTGCCAGGACATGTAAATATCAATGTTATTCAAACCGATAAGGCTTTTCTAGTCAGTGTAAACACTTCTGTAACATAACCTTTGAAGGTGAGGTGAGAAAAAGTAGGAAACTGGAGCTCCATACACACTACTGATATCACTTCTTTTCATTGCGATCATCACAGAGGGACAAGACACCAGTGTCACATCAGAGTAACACTGCGTATTTGGGCCACAGGACATCTAAAGTTCACACACGATTAAGCATTTGTGTGTGTGTGTGTGTGTGTGTGTGTGTGGTCAGAGAGAGACAAAAAGAAAAAGATCAGATGTCTGGTATCTAACACACCTGTGTTTGAAGTCACATAAGAGACAAACCTTTGCTGTGTCACCTGCTTCCCTAAAGGCATTTACATACACATACATTCAAAAGGTTTGATATGAGGTTATAAATAAAAAAAACCTGTGGGTTTTCTTTGCTCTAGTTTAGTACTGTGGAACTGCTTCATTACCTGTTTGGTTTTGTTAACTGGACTTAGAAGCAGAGAGTGTTGTACCTTTGTATCAGGGTTGAGTGGGCACGCTTTGGCATGGCCATAACAGATACACATCCCTCCAACTGAGATGTCCTTAATGGAATAATAATACTGAAGAGAAAAGAAAGAAAATGTGCAACATTTATGAGGGTGCATTGAGCATTGATTTTAGAAAAAGAAATGTGAAAGACCAAATGAGATGAAATCTTGCTATTTTGAAAAAAAAGGAATAAAAAAAAGAAAAGAGAACAGAACATAAAAGAGTTGTGTTTTTTTCTCTTACCCGTCTTGTCACAATGAAATCAATATCTTTGGGGTCCCTGAGTGTCAGAGTCATGAGGTCGGCGTTCAGCGTTCGTATTCGCTGGAAAACCAACCTGATGTAGCGGGCAGAGGTAAAGTTTAGCAGGGTTGGAGATGGGTCATCTGCACTGGGCCGCCCATTGATCAGAGATGTGTGGATCTATAATCAGAGGGATACGTGTACATATAGTGAATCGAGCCATGGTGCCAAGATTCAAAATAAAAGTTTCAGCTTCAACGCCTTGGTAAGTTGCAAATTCCTATAAAATAAATGACATCTGAGTTATCTGATATTTGATTAGCAAATACTTTTTACATCTATGACCTAAATTAGAAGTCATCTGTTGCATGTGCTAGTATTTATTTATTTATTTATTATCCTAAATAAATCTCAGTAATGCTTTTAAAAATCATTGCAAATACTCCCTCCTACCCAAACTGTAAGATTCAAAGCACAGAAAAATGATTTCAGAATAAAAACAGTTTGTTCACACTTCAGTTCAGGCTCCACTGATAACCTGCAAGCTTCACCGAACATGAAATTAAACATGAGAATGTGGGAGAGGCTGGGTATCTACCTAGTAGGCTGTCTGTCGAGATTATAGAATCGGTGGTCCGATCTTGTTCGAGACTTAAAATCTATCAAATAACTACACAAAACGTATTTTCTCTTTAAGTTTCTTCAGTAAAAAAACTTTTTTTCCCCTGTTTATGACAGCGCAAGTGAAGTGTGTTGAATATTACAGTTTAGCTTCATTTTTTAAATAATCTGTAATGCTTCACCCCATACAGTATTTCACTAAATGAAATAAAGTACTCTAGTCCTCATTTTATTCTATAAAGAGTATAGGAGTGATCCAGTTTGGCTTCAAGGTACCTTAAATATTTAAACCTTTAAATTAAAGGCTATTTGACAGGTGGATAACCATTTTCAAATTTACACTGATACTTCATAATTGTTTAGCTCTTTAAACTATTTGTTATGCCTCCCCTAGGGGTTGACTGAGCTATTCAGGAAAGCTTTGATGTGAGGAAACTTATGCTAGAATATAGTTGTAATGATCTTTAGAGAGCAGCTTAAGGTAAACCTGCTCAATTAGTTCACATCTACATATTTGTGTAGAAGTAGTTTTTCAACATGAAAACTTTTCAAAAACAACACTCACTTATACGGAAACCAGGTCCAATTTAACACCGGTGTTTTGTAGAAAAGTGCACTCTTGCTGAGCTATGCACGTCCAGGGTTTCATGGTGACATGCACCAGTAACAATAACATATCAATAATGAAAACAGAAAAAATTACTGAATAATAAAATACAAAAATGGACAGAAGTGCAGGTACCCATAGTTTAATGAAAAAACCCCAAAGTGGTCACAGAAATAACTTGAATCTGACAAAAGAAAAATGTAATAAAAGTACTATTGAAAAAACAAATAAAAGTCTGGCTTTTAACCAGTTGCTCAGCAGAATGATTTTAAAACATGAACACCTGAAACAGGCCTAGATGTTGATTGAAAAGACTAAAAATAATGTGGCTAAAGGTTGAATTAAGGTGTGTAAACTGGTTTGCATCACAGGTGTCTACAATTTTATAATCATCTAGTCGGCCTTTATATAGGGATAAAGGTAGTTTCTGCACTGTCTGTTTGCACAGTTTGTACTTCACTCAACATGACCCAGAGGAAGAGAAGGAAGGATTCTCTCAGATGTTTAGAAAGAAAATTATGGAAAAGCATATTAAAGGTTATAAGACAACCTCCAAGAACCTTGAAGATCTTGTGACTACAGTTGCACATTTAGAAATTTAAGATCCATGGGACAGTAGCCAATATTCCTGGAGGAAAATTAATGACAGATAAAAGAGACGGATAATATGAATAGTAACAATAGAGCTCAGAAAACCTTCAAAAGAAATTGAAGGTAACTTCAGGCTGAAGGAATATAAGTCTCAGATCACATCTGTTGTTGTTTGAGCCCAAGTGGACTTAATGGGAGATGACCAAAGAGGACACCATTGCTGAAAACAAATATTTAAAAAATGCAAGAGTGAAACTTGCAAAACCACATATTGTAAAGGATGCTCTTTTTTCGGGTGGATCATCAAAATAAATGATGATAAAAGGAGATTGACAAAAGGAGATTGACAATTCTCCTAATTGTCAGTCATTCTGGTGATTGTTTACGTAAGTCCCTCCTACCTGCTCATCCCCGGTTTGCCATCTTTTTCTTCAAATGCGCTCTTTCAGACGTATATGTGTGGTGAGCTATGGTTTCAGCCAATAATTGAAGCTCGCCATACTCACCACAGTTCTTTGAAAATGGCCAATGGTTGTAAGAGGAAAAGTGTCTAGAAGAATAGTTGAATATGAGAAGAAAAGAAAGGCCTCAGAAGGGAGAAACAAGACCAGAGTGTTTTTGGGAGATTCTTATATGCAACAAGCGTTCACTGAAAGCACAGGTCAGGCTTCGAAAAGATGCCTCGGTTACGAAGTTTCTACTGGACAAATAAAGTTTGGCATGCTATTTGGAGACATACGTTTAGCATCAAGTGGCTTCTGAACACTCTTGCGGGCGTTCAATAGACGTTCCCTCTCGGGAGCGGGTAATGGGTTGTGCGTGTGCATTTTTTTTAAGTAGACAGGGCAGTTCTTTTCAAATTTTCAGGAAAATCCTCCACTATACCTTTAATGGTATGGTATCATAATTTTTGTCCAAGGCCGTTTATTCTACATTTATTTAAATAATTCCATTGAAGCATAATTGAAAAGCAATGTGTTACTTTCATTTGTTCATTTTCATAGAATTTGTATTTATTTTTCCTTTTGCCAGATTCAAGTTTTTTCTGTGACCATTGCTGGTTTTTCTTTCATTGAACAAGGCGTAGCAACAATTCTGTCCACATGTGTCCTAGTACTGTAACAGTTCACCACTTTTCTACCAACTAGCGTTAAATCTTTTGTCTTTAAAAATAATAGTTACACTGTTAAAAATGGTGTTGTGAATTCAAGGCAACAAAATGCAAACATTTTTTTGACATATCTCAACTTTTGCTTTCTGTTGTTGACTTTACTCAGGTTTATTATTTCAGACAACAGTTCTTCCAACCTAAATGTTCTTTTTCCCCCAATTTAGAACAATCCATTACAGCTTAGCAAGAAATACTAGCATTATTTACAAAAACAAAAGATGTCAACCTTAAGACCTTAACGAGAAAATGTTTTTAAAATAGTTTTCAGCTCCTCAGGCAACAGAACACCGTAAACATGTTAAAACATCCGTACATGACAAACTTACTGCTAAACCTCTGTGAAAGTACATATAAATAAAAATATTAATAAAAATAATAAAACGTTTTCCATCATATTTTTAAATCAAAGCAACACAACAAGAAGAAAACAGCTGGATAAAATAGAGTAGAATTTCAAAACGTTGAGCTTTTCTACCTGTTACCCACATTTAAACCAGCCTGAAGGATGTTTTGCGTATGTTTCCCACACATAACCAGTAATCAAAAAGCAGCTACATTATAAGCAGGGTAGAGCTCTGATTGTCTGTCTGGCCATCTGTCTGTCTCTCTAATGTGGCCAAAGCAACATTTGGCATCTGTAAAAAAACAAAAAAACAAAAAAACAAAAGCAAAGGAAGTCTCACAGTGTGTGTGGGTTTGTGTGTGTGTGTGTGTGTGTGTGTGCATGTCAAGGGGGAACACTTGATGGGTGTAAGCTGCACACTTGGAAGTAACGAAGAAGATAGTTATATGTGTGTGCTGTCGTGTGTGTGAGCATTGGGGTGACATTGCGAATGTGTGTGCGATGCAGTGACACATCGCCTACGACTCATTATGGTTTCACTGTGATCAGACGGCTAGGGAGCTGTCAACCCCACACACACACACACACACACCTCCGTCGTTCCTTGCAGCTCTTGACATCTCCCAGCTTTACACCCCCTCTAGCGCTCCCCCGCAGGACACAAGCACGAACGTCACATACACAACTTGCACACATGTAAAATCCACACACACAGACTTTCATAAAAACATCAACAATTAGAAGCTTGTATACGCCACGAGAATGTGTGATTGGTTTGTTTCCTCTCTAGGTTGGTGTGTATGGGAAGGTGTTTGTGTGTTTTCCAGTCCTCTTTCTCTTCATTAATGTCAGTTACAGCCGGCTTGCTTCTCTGTTCATACTGGATGCAATCACACAAAGCTGATCAAAGCGGCATTGCAGTAAACACTGGTAAACTCAAGCTGTGGGAGTCTGCGCCTAGCAAATAAATAAATAAATAAAAGAATGAGACTTGTGTTATTGATTAAAATGTTTAAATGGTTGTGCACGTCATCAGAGCATCTTGTCTTCACATTCGCTTCTCAGTACATCCAATTACCTCCAATTAGCCACTAGTCAACCAGATTATCTGATACGTTGTAAGCAGGGAGCTGTTTTCATGTTTGGTATGTTTTTGTTTTTCTCCCCTTTTTCTGGTGGACATTTATTTAAAAGGTTTTCTGTATTTAAAGACCCAGCCTAACTAATACATTTTGAATAAACAGATTAAAATAATCAGGCATCGAATCAATAAAATATCCTAAACTCATATTCTTCACAAATATTTTGTTAATAAAACTAAATATTTTAATTGTATGCCAGTAGTATTTAATGAAGTAAAGACATATTTATGGTTACGTTAGGTTGGTTGTGTTATTTTCCAAGCATGTAACAACTACCAAAATTAAATGTTGGAGCTTAAAGGTATTGTGGAGGATTTTTTTTTTACCACTGCTTTTTGTTCCGTTGGTCATGTAACTCCTCCTCGTCTGCACTGTGCCTGCGCCATCTTTATTACTAGTCGCCACTGTGGGGCAGTGTCAGCCGGCCGCTGTGACAGCGAATGCAAGACTGCTTTGAGAGGAGAGCTCTCCGTGCAAAGCATTCTGGAATATATCTGCCTCTTCTAAGGCTTTTCTTGTTAGGAATCCAGTTTGTGTGGCCTGTTTGTGTGTCTCCTTTTTCCACCAACAGGAGGTGCCCTGTCTTCGCTGTCCCTCCCTGCACACCTGCGGCTCATTGGATCATTATCTGGAGGAGTATTTGAGCAGTGGACTGTCACTACCTCGACGCCAGAGTGTTTGCCAGTTTTGGGAACACTAGCCAAGCTGAGTTTAGCTGAGTCTAATTTAAGCTTCCTTTCTCTGAGACTAATGTTCTTTGTCTTTGTTCTTTGGCAGGAAGATTTCCTATGTTACTGGATTCCTGGACCTTCTCCTCCCTGGAAGGAAAAACCGAGTTCACACTGGGCAGGGGAAAACCTCCAAATGTTCTGTTCAAGTACCCATCGGAAATCCGAGTGACAGTCCGCTTCATTACTCCTCCGGTATGCACTATTCTCTGGATTTACCACACAGACTGGATTCAAGGACTAACAAGGCCCACCTCAAACGTGAGTCCCAATCTTGCATAATCTAAGTGCTTCCAAGATTTCCACGGTCCCTGAACTGACCACTGAACTTCCCTTCTCACTTCCAGTTCCGGCTCACCAGCTCACTGAGTTTCAGATCCAACTCCTGTATTACTCCCTCAATAAACCTATTTAAACTTTTCCTTTGTTCTCTGAGTGGTTTCTCTGCATTTGGATCCGATTTGTAAAACTGATCAAGACATTTCTTTTCTTCTCATAGACTTCGTAGACACTTTTTCTCTTAAGACCCTCAGCCTTTTTCAAAGAACCACGGTGAAAAAGGTGAGCTTCAATGACTGTCTGAAACTGTAGCTCACCACACATTTGCGGCTGAAAGTGCGCATTAAGAAAAAGATAGCGAGCACGTAGGATGGCCTTACGTAAACATATCACCAGAATGATTGACAGTTAGGAGGACCACTTATTTTGATTATCCACCCGGAAAGAAAAGACCGTCCTCTATACCTTTAAGGACATTTTGATGGTTATATCAATTGTAAATCCTGCTGCATTTTTTTTAAATATATATATATATTTTTATTAGTTTGTTGTTTTGGGACTTACCTCTCCGTTCTCCAGAGGATGAATTTTTGAATAAAACGACGTGCAGATCACTTCATCATCTCTAGTGTAAGATGGAGGTCCTGTCCGCGGATTTATGTTGAACCTTGTCAGACACTCGGTGTCTGTGATGGCATAGTACTGCCAAGGTTCAAAAGTCACTCCATCTATTGAACGCTCCAAGATCCAATTACCTGTGGACAAAAACATTAATGATAAAATAGATCAACTAGACAACGAGAGAACGAGAAAACAATCAATACAAACAGTGATGGATGACTGAAACCACGGTTTAGGTCATGCTGATTATTATACATGGAAAATTGACAAAATGTTTAATTTCATATTTGTCAAAGCCTTATACCAACTGTTAAGTCTTTGACTGATTGCATGCGAATTGAAGGGAGAACATTTAATGGAAAAGGTAAATAGATGAGATAAATAATAGATTGAACTGCACCAAGCAGCAAACATACAGTACAAAACTATTAAATCCATGTTGACCCTCTTCAAGCCTATTTCTGTCAGGAAAGATGGATATACTAAATAAACGTCTGAATTTTTTTTTTTAATGAAGGTACTCTCATCTTGCACCTTAGCAGGACTCCAAGATTGTCAAACATTATTATTAATAAACTCTAAAGTAAAGGGATTAGTGATTTAATGGAAGCCATTTTCTTAATTTATGTTAATTCTTCTTCAGAGGATCATTTGCTCTCAAGGTTGTAATTAATAGATTTACTTGTTCATTAGACTAAGTCGGAAAATATGCAACCAAATATCCCTCTAATCACACACTTGGTTGTATTATCAAAGCCGTGAAACTTAAAATAGTCTACTGCCATCTTAATAAGAACCATAAAGATAAATCATACCTGGACGAGGAGAGTTGGCTGCCTTGATTATTATGTAAGCAACCTGGAAAACCTGGAAGAGAGAGAGAAGATAAATGATTACAATGCTAACCAAAGACAAGAAAGCATAGTTTTTGAACATTAGGTTTTTCCTTAAATATTCTAAAAATGAATAAAGACATTAATAGACAGTGTTTTGTTTTTCTTGAAAACATACATGGATAATAAATATTGGATTTTAACGTCAGGATTTTAACTTTTCTTTTCTTTTTTAAAAAGGAGGTCTAATAAAAGTTATACCTGGAAGTTATTTCAGGTACATGAAATCATAGGTAGTAAACAATTGAGCCAGTTAATTTAAATAAACAGCATGCCTGCAACTTACACATGGTCAAACTAAATTTTGGGGGGTCAGAAATTGATTAGGCCATAAAGAGGCCATGATGGACAACATTGTGGACAGCAAAGCTGAAGCTAATGGAAAGAATGACAATGACAATCCTTAAAATGTTTTTATGATTTTTTTTAAGCTGACGGTTACATTGTTTGCCATCAGTATAACTGCTTGAGATCTTTCTAGAGAAATCCTTTCCAGTTTGAACTCGAACCTATTTTTCATGACTTAAAATATGACCAAATTTACCATAAATTACCGTAATACTATGTTCTTAAATATTTGCTGAATGCATAACAAATATTTGCAAACAGCACTAAAGAAGAGATTTGATTTATAAAATACAAATTCAGTATAAAAATAATCAAGAAATAACTGAGGTAATGGATTGCCATATTAAGTTTTTTTTTCTTTATTAGTATTTTCAAGCAAAAAACAAATAGAAGAAACTAACAGAAAAAGTCCGTGAGCATAGGTATTAACCCTTCCTCTAAGTCAGTAATTAGCTGAGTCAACATTTGTGGCAACAACAACCAGAAGTTGCTTGACACTTCTTGGTAATGGGATTTTTACATCTTGAGGCTAAACTCCATCTCCTTTATGTTGGATGGTTTTTCTTGTGAACAGCAGTCTTAAACTCTAAATTGCAGATCTTAATTATCTTGTGTTGACTTTATTTAAATAATTTAAGGCATGTTTTAAACCACTCAAGCTTTGCTTCAGCATACTGCTTAGCAGAGCCCCCCTCCCTTAACGATGAAAATGGAACGCTGTAAAAAAAAAAAAAAAAAATAGCTTTTTCAACTAAACGAGGCCATATTAAAGGTGACATGTTTAATCATGCTCGAATAACCAGAACACATCATAACAACAGTAACATTCAAAAATTGCAGTTAAAATACAGTAACACAACCCCTTCATCATAACACATATTATGGAAATCAAATAAGAACTGAATTTAAATTATGGTTCAGAGTCACAGCACCATGGGCAGAGCTGTTTGGTTAAAGTAGAGGCTACAATACATAGGATAACTTACTAAAATATGCATCTTAAAAAGACTTCTTCTATTTAAGCACATCTTCCTGTGAACAGATTTTTATTCATTTACTAAAGTTAAAAACGATGTTTAATACATTTTTAAAAAAGGAAATGTCTTTTTACACATCTTTATTGTGTGAGAAAAAAAAATCTCACTGTGTAATTATCAGACTGCCATTACATTTTTCCTCTAGCCCACCCCCCTAGTGGAAGCTTGCGCACTTTAGGAATACCTGCTTTTAGCCATAGTCTTCCTTGAAGTTGAACTTCATTCTGTGCTAAATCAGATAGACCCATAGGTTTTTATATCAAAAATATCCCTGCATTCAGCACCATGCACCCTTAATTAAACTTTAAACAGTGTCCAACACCCTGATGCAGAAACCCATCCCCATAGCATGACACAGCCACCACTTGTTTCACGGTGAGAACACTTGAAACTTACTTCTAACACCAAGTAATGTGTTTTTTTTTTTTTTTTTTATTGTGTTATTTATTTTCTGGTTGCTGTTGCATAAACACATCAGTCAATTATTGATCATTAATGATTAGTGTTTTTATTTATTTATTTAATTTAATCTAATTGAAACAAGGACCAAGAAAATCCATTCTGATCCAATTAGATGTTTAAGACTTTTAAAACAACCACAGTTGACCAAAGTGCTGTACAGAAAAAAAAAATGTCACTAATAAAGACAAGGGAAAACAAGCCTGAATTCAAACTGGAACTTTTACCCTATTTAAAGATAGCCTTTAACCATTAAAAACAAGTTGGCTCCACCACCAACCTTACTTAGTTTGGCTGCAAGAGGTTGAGAAGCAACAGCCTTTACTCTGCCTATATCCACCAGAATACCAAGTGACTCCGGATTGGAGTTCAGTGAAATTACTGAACATATTTTCTATTGATATTAATCAGGTGTCTATTGTGATATTCACTGATTTATTGCCTAGCCCGAGGTTAAAGTCTGGACAGAGGTTGACAATCCATGTAAGTAAATAATGACTCATGCTCCACGAATGTCTCATTCACAGTTTGAGCCCAATGAATCTTAGCTTTTTTATCTGGGAATATGACTATGCTATTAGGGAAGATAAAACATTGATGGAATATCTTGGTAATCGCCTGAGCTTGGATCAGACTAACTACTGTACAGTAACCCCAGATCATAGCAGTTTTCCCTGAAGGTTGTTACAGTAGACTCAAGAGATTAAGGCTGCATCAATTTACTAGCCTCTTCTCTTACCCTGATACACCCATCACACTGGAACAGGTTAATGCTGGACTCAGCAGACCCTCAGTTCCTTATGCCTCCTAGCATTTTATACCATTTCTTCCTATTTGTCTTAGAGATTGGTGGTTTTCTTAAGGCTACACAGCTGTTTAGACCCAATTTCTTAAGTTCTCTTCACATTGTGCTTGTAGAAATACGTACTTTCACTATTGAACGTTGATTTTCTTCTTGAGACTAGAATTTCAAAAAAATGGTAAAAAACCAATGATACTGAATACTTCCACAAGGTACTGTATAACGATTAAATAAGGAACTAACTGATTTCACTGGCATTTATCTTTGAAAAAAACATCTTTTCAAACTGTCAAATCTTAAACCAATTTCTCATAGCAGATGTTAAGTTCAGCAATATTTTATTTACTTATGCATATAAATGGGGGTGAATTATAACACCTAAATTCTACCTCAGTCTTTTTTTTACAATCAGAAAAAAAAAAAAACAGAGGCACAGAAAACCATCTTACAAACTCAAGACAATGAAAGTGAGAAGACCAGTAAAACCTAATTGAATGTAAAGTATGTGTATGAAGAGATAAAAGGAAAACCAACAGGCAAACAAAACCAAAGATTATATACAAGTCAACTTTTGATCGGACTCCATGTCTCTTATTGTAACCACCCTCTTTTTCCTGCACATTTTTTTTCTTTGCAGCCACATTTTTTTCTTCTGATGATGTAGGAAGCAGTTTCATATTGTAGCAATTAGAATAGAGAGAAACCACAGTGTGTGTTTGTCTATGTGTGAGAAAATATCTTTTGGGGTAACCTTATACCAGTCATTCAAGCCACTTACAAAGAGTCGCTGTTACCAGAATACAGCATGTGTGTGTTGAAGGACAAAGAGAGTGAATGTGTATCTGAGCGATACTTTGATAGATCCAAGCAACTCTTGCAGTTTTACCCTGATAAACCGAGTCAAATCATACAGTGTATATGTTTGTATGTGGGATTTATTTTTTAACTGGGTGGGGGCTTTTCAGTGAGTCACATTCTGGGTTTTGATCAGATGTAGATCAAACGAGAAATTCTTCTGCCTCCAAAGCTCAACACAGCATCAACAAATAAAATGGCTGATAACTGTCCTGCTGAAGATCACAAGGATGGCAGATAAAGTCACTTCAAGTCAGCATATTTACTGACAGTTAAGAGATTTAATTTGAGATTCTGCCAGAATAAAATTTAATTGGCCAGACTGCAATCCTTTTTTTTTTCTTTAAATGTGTTTTCTTTTAAGATGTTCCCCTTTTTTGCAAAAGACGTACAAGTTCACAGCAGCAGGGTGTCTGGGAGTTTCATCAGGTTTAGTTAAAGGCCATGTAACATCCATGCACAATAAAATAAACATCAACAAAATCACTAAGCGGAGGAAGAGTTTTATACAAAAGGTACAAGTTTTAATAGTTCTAGTAAAATGATGATGCTGAAAGACAAATACAGCAACCTTACAGTTATTATCCATCTATAATTACAGCAGTTAAATAACGGCAACTATGTTTAAAAACTGTTTGGAAAAAAGGTAACAGTATAAATTTCACTTTAACATGTTGCTTGATGATGTAGAGATTACACACTTTCCTGTGTGTTTTGTGAGCATTGCAGCACATGAATGAGTAAAACATGATGATGAATTGTCGAACATGATGAAAAATCCCATTAACCTAATGGGTTCAACTCAGACTTTCATTATTGAACTGAATGGTACTGTTTTTGAGCAGTTGATATTTTTTAAATATTTGATTGAGATATATATATATATATATATATATATATATATATATATATATATATATATATATATATATATAATTTTTTTTTTTTTTTTACAGCGGTTGAATCTTAACATCTCTCTTTCGAATTTAAATAGTTTAATTTAAATAGTTTTTGAGCCATCAACAAGCTTCTGATGCCTGACCCATGATGTTAAATACTTCAGAAACATCTCACAATAATTCAAACCTAACAGGAATTGGAAAGTATTCATAGGTGTCAAAAGTATACGTTTTTATTACTCAAGTAAAAGTATAAATCCTACTGTTTAACACTTTAAATACTCAGCTTAAGCTTTTTACTCGAGTAAAAGTAACACTTAAAGTATAAAAGTTAAAGTAATGCGGGAAAAAAATGTTAAGGAAATATGCTTTAAACCATATACTGGTTACTGGACACCTTTTTAAAGAAATATTTTTCTTCAATTCTAGATGATAACTTCCTTATACTTAATTTTCTTAGTTTTATAACTAATCCTTACAGTGTGAAATTTAACTTTTCATCATCTTGAAAAACTATTTATTTTGGTATGTGGCGAACAACAAGTCAGTGCAGTACAGAGTTAACCCACAAATA